TTTAAATATTTAAAGTTTTTCCATAACAAAGTACCTCTGTGTACTTTATTTATTTACTATTTTTTTTTTATTTTTTAGGCTAAAGATAAACTAGTTAAACCAAAGCTACAGAGTTCAGCTAAAACACCTAATGAAAATATAAAATCAAAGAAAAAGAAACTTAAAGTAAGTAAAGAAGGCAAGCCACTGACCAGTGGACCCACAACAATGAACAGCATTGAAAAGGGAAACTTGAGCAGCAAGAGTCTTGGACCTCCAAAGCGCCTAAAGCCTTTCTCAAAGAAACCGCTTAAAGTGAAGATTGAAGCTAAGGAGAAAAGAGAATCATTGACCAATGTGATGAAGAAAGATGAAGACAAGCCCAATAAAGCACTGAAACCAAAACCTAAGTTATTGAAGAAAAAGCAAAGCAGAAAGCCCTTCAGTAAAGAAGGTATTCAAGTGAAGTTAGCTTTGGGAAAATCAGTTAAAACAGAAGATGGAGCGGTAGAAAAGGACTCTCATTCAGAAGAAGAGGAGGATCTTTGTTCAGCTACTAAGTGTTTACGGCCGACAGGTAAGAAAGTATAAATATGATTTTCTTATAATGTTAAATGCATTGTTATTTTTTCAAATGTATGCTACAGTTTATTTGCATTTTTGGTAGCTAAAAAAAAGAACTCTTTTTATATTCTTATGAGTCCATAACCTTGAACTTATCTTCTCATTTACATACCCACTACCAATGAGGTCCGTATGTTGCAACTTAGGGTGTAATTGTTTTTGCTTATTTCAACACTCAGTAGTGCCAAAAAAATGTCATTCATATTCTATGTGAAATACATGAGAAACCCCCAGTAGTAATTAGTGGGATTAATTGTAATTATTAATGTTATCTTTGTTTATAATTTTTGTGTGAGACTTGCTTGTTATATTAGGGATCTTGTAACCAACAAAGTAATGAACCCACAAGCAGCTTTGTGCACAGATTTTAAAGCCTCTAATTTGTAAACATTTTTGTTTGTGGACCACCTACTTTTTTTAAAAATATAAATCTTGACTGGCCAGCAGACCACAGATTGAAAACTGCTGGGTCAAAATAGTGTGTTTAGATGTGGATAATTGTATGGTTAATGTTAATTTCTCTAACAAAAAGAGCTTGTTATTGAAAGATATATTTGAAAGTTCCATTGTCATAAGAATATTGGTTTTGTTTAACTCTTACATTTTAAGTGTGGCCAGCAAATTGTATAATTTTTATGCATGGTGGTAAGATGGTTTAATAATTAGGTAAGGTAATTAACAAAAACACCAGCACCCTCAACTGTGGCATGTTTTTGTAAGTGTTCCAGGCATTTTGGGGGTTTTCTCACTCATCATGTTCATGTTACCTTCGAATGTTAACCAACAAATTCTGATACAACGACTCATCTCCATGCACAGATTAGCTGTTTTTCTCTCGACGTTGTGATATTGTGCTTTAGAGACTTGCATGCCACTATTCTTGTGAAACTCCCACCTAAAATTCATGTGGAAATGCATGAACTTATGCTACTGCATGATAATGTATCATGCAGCAAAACCCTCCACCAGTAGGAGTGTGACACACCTCCTTGCGCAAATGCTCCCTTCACATTAACGAGTGAAAGTCTTCATTCTTTTCCTCGGCATAATTGTGATTAGATGTATATATTTTTGCTGAGACTTGAAGTAAATATTTCTCTATTTTCAACATTAATTCATAGATTAATGTGAATTCTTTTTTCTCCTGATGCGAGTTCAAATACCACTCACAATTTAGGAAGTTCTTGCCTGTTGAGATCATGACAGCCATTTTGTATTGCAAAAGGTGCCATTCAGGTTGAAAATACAGTAAGAAAAAGAGTAACATAACATCATCCACCATGTGGGTGTGGTCCGTGTTGCCACTTGGACCCTCTTATTAAGTCCCTGCCACTCATTTCCCTTCACAGATTTTGAAGCTGAAGAGGATAAAACGGAATACTTCTCTACTTACTGAATATCTTTTGACTTTCCAATCTTGCGTATGCCTTCTACCCATTGTTTCCTTTTTCTCCCCTGTTAGTGCTGCACCTGGAATTTACTTTAGGTTTCAGTTTGCTCCTGCTGTTTTTTCCTTGTCTTACAGGTAACACATAGAAGTTATTGTTTGGATATAGTATGTTCTTCATTAACATGTAAACTCATAGAACTTGATGTTTCGACATCATCGATTACTTTATAATGTGTCTACATACACTATTTTGTTTAGAACTTAATTCATTAATCCTTAACTTGTACTATTTAGGTTGTTTAATCATAGATACTTACTCTTTAACATATACCATTTAGTATATCATATTTATTCATTTATCTTTCACATTGTACACTTCGACTGATGGTTGGTCGTATTCACTTATTCCTTGCTATGTATTAACATAGACGTTAATGTTTATAGTTAGTTGCTCTTTCACTTGTAACACATCATTGTTGATACTTCATTCTGGTGTATGACTTTTAATATGTCCAAATGGAAGGTAATGTTCTCATCTTGTTTATCACTTCTTCACATGTATTCTTGGTAGATAATGCTTAGTCATGTATATATAACTATGAATGGTTGATTCTAGTTTCTTGTTTTTAACATGTATACCTAGAAGATATTGTTTTGAAATTGTTCATTTCTCCTTTTATGTACACATAGGAGATAAGGTTTAGACAGTTCTTTCATCCTCACCATGTCCCATGTAGAATGTCATGTTCATTGATGTTTATAAATAGTTGCTTATTCTTAATGTCGTAGTTAGATGTCCCCTCCTTAAGTTTCTCTTTTTGGTTTTATTTCTCTTCTGGACATACATTGTTGTCCTGTCTGGGCTTATCAGCATGTTGACACACACTTCCTCCTCCTCATTCCCTCTCACTGCCCTTTCATAATTGGACACCAGCTCTACCTGGGGCCTCTCTCCATACCCCATTATGGATTGGATCCACCAGTTCATACATTTTGTACTTGCCCCTCTGATGGTGGATGCTTGTATGTTCTCTCAAATCTCCATTCTTCAACTTTCCCCCATTTTCTCTGGGCTGGCATGTGGGCTACCCCACAATCATTTGTTTCACATTAAACTATCTCCACTATTTTGCTCTCTACACCTGTAATGAGTGTGATATTCATTTACTTATTTCTTCCTCACTGTTCTTCTACTTTTGGATCCCACAAGGCAGCTAGTTTTTCCTCACAGAGTATACTTACCCAAAATTCTGCATCAGGCCAGGATAATAGAAGTACTCAGACTATCTGCCCTGGCCCAATCAGTGATCACTGTGAGATGGTGTGTTATGTAAGATTACTGGAGATCTACTCGTGTACTTTTTTTCAGTCCGATCTAGACTGTACCCATTCATGGAAAAAGTCAGCACCCGAGTTGTGCTTCTGACATTGGGAGACCTTTGCCACTTACCATCTCCCAGCCACTGGGGTGATAAACCATGAAGAATATTCACTGATTGAGACTTGGAAAGAGGTGCTAAAACACACTGACCCTCTACACTGTGAAGTGGGACATGAGTGTTTCTTGAGTGTAGTATGGACTACTCCAACCTGTCTGGACACATCACAATCTTCCAGTGGATTTAAGACACATTTTGCCTACTCTCACTTTGCCCTTACCAACTCCTGCAAGGACATGACCCCACTGCATTTGCTTGCAGAGTTATTGCTGTTTTTTAATATCCAACTGTGATGGATTGCTCATTAACCTTACTCCCACAGCTAGAATTGGGGCCCATAGAATCTGATGGTTGAGTGGTGTTTTCCTGAATACATTTGTGTCCACTAGAGTGCCCTCCTTCCATGACTAATGTGGGCTCTTAGTGTCTGACAATTGAGGAGCTTTGCATTGATACTTTTAACATGTTCTACCACAACTGGTACTGACCCTTAAAAACTGATGGTCAAGGGGGTGAGCACAATTGGTACAGTTTGAACATGCCCCAACCTTACTAAACATATTGGCATTCTGGTGGTTTGTGTGCAAGATCTTGGATGGTCATGTACCTATTCCATCCGTCCTTGCGACACCTTCAGGCTTCTTGCCTCTCCCTATCCTTCACTCAGGCAAAGAGTATACCCTGATTGAGATTAGATGCATTCATCCATGGGTTTGCCCCTATGGAGCCACGTCATAGGGTGTTGCACATTATGGGCTTTCTTTTGATGCTCTTGAAAGGTGGCTCATCTAGGTATTTTCTGCAATGGTCCCTTCACTATCTCAACATGGAATTCTGGCTAAGCTGAGCATGGAAGTGAGTCATTATATCAGAAAGTTAACATTTTCTGTACCTGAAAATGTATTTCTGATAGATACCTTCATGCACATTCCCACACTTCTTCCTTACATCCCAGTGCACTTTTCTTGTTTGCCTCGTCAGAGAATGAAGACTTGTGCATATAGTTTTAAAGGGAGCATTTGTGCAAGGAGACATGTCACACTCCTATTGGTGGAGGTTTTTTTTCTGCATGATACATCATCATGTAGTAGTGCATATTCAAGTGAATTTTAGGTGGGAGTTTCACAAGTCTGGTGGCATGGAAGTCTAAAGGCAGAATAGCATGACCTCAAGAGATGAGTGTCTATCAGAAATATATTTTCAGGTAAGGAAAATGCTAAAAATTTTTTATATACCCTAGTGGGACAGCTGAAGTCTCTGAATTTAAAATACTAAAATCCAGGGTTTGATTTCCCATGGAGAACACAACAGATAGCCTAATGTGGCTCTGATCTAAAAAACTTTTGCCTATTTTGAGTACTAACTTAGTATTGTTACATAAATCTCAAAGTTACCCCAAAATAAGCATAATATTGGTTAGAATTAACAAAAGTTTGTTTCTTATGACAAGCATCAGCTGATAGCTCAGTAATTCTTAGTACAACAGTGTTCATTTTCATACAGTATGAAACAAGCCCTATTAAATGTCTGGCTCATTATAACTCATCTATATATTTTTTTAAAGTTATGTACTTAACAAAAACATATTTAAAATAACAGTAAACATTACATTGTTTGAAAATTGTGAAAAAAATAAACCTGACTTTTGAAATGTCCATGCAACCACTGAAGGGGTGGGATGTGGTTTAAGGTTTAGTAACCAAAATATTACATTGGTTATTCATTATATAATGCAGTTTTCTAGCACCTGTTATTCTTCCAAGTAATACTTAGTTCTTCAGTCTGTTTATGAACTTTGAGCTCTTAGCATTTCCATTGTTACACAGTTACCTACAGCATATGAAAAGAATGTGTACATGTTGAGAATTAAACAGATGGTTGGGAAGCATAGTGTATGTAGTTTGTAAGGAGCAATGAATACAGGCATGTTAGTTGATAATTGAAGATTAAATTGTGGTCGTGATGCAGTGTTTAGAGTGAATGTTTACACACCACTTACTGTATTAAAAAGAAGGAATATTAGTACTTTTTTATTTTCATCATGAGCAATTATTTAATACTGTATTCACATGTGGTTATTTCAGGAGAAGCAGTCAACTGGGTTCAATGTGATGGAGGATGTGAGGAATGGTTCCATTTATATTGCATGGGTTTGGAGTTGAAGGATGTCAGTGAAACAGAGGACTACATTTGCCCTGGCTGTGTCGAGATGTCTGCTAGAGAAGCAATGGTAGTGGCTCCCATTGACATCAAAACAGAAGTTTCAGACAGTGATTATGGCAGTCAGTCTACAGACTTACTGTCACTTGAAAGGCAAGTTTTAGAAGAGTCAAACAGTAGTTCATGCCCCACAGGGAACGAGGATACCAAACAAGTAATGGTAAATGGTGGCCTATCTCCAGCTCAGAATACTTCCAGTGTTATCAAACCTGGACGTGAATGTTCATCAATGCCACTGTCAGTGTTTGCTGTTGTTGATGGATAGATTTCACTCTAAAGTGGAGTTTAGGTTTGTGTAATGATGGGGTAAATAGATCGTTATTTGTCAGATCATCCATTGTGGTTTATATTTCATGTGTGTGAATTCATCGTGGGAAAGCAGACCCAATAATCAAGTCCTGTATATTTTGTAGAATGATGAATGTTTTAATTTTATAATCTCGTCACAGTCTACGTTTTGAAGCAATGATTCTAGATTAGCCAGCTGTTATTACATTTCAAAATATTTTCTGTCTTGAAGAAAAAAATTCTTATAGTAAAAGTTGGTAATCAAACAAACTGTGAAGGAAACATGTTTAAAACCAACAATATTCTAACTTGATACCCGAGATCTCTGGTAATTGCATCTACTAATATTTATTCTTAATAAATCTGTAAAGTGAAGAAGAATATACCATTTAAGTACAATTTATTTTACTACCTAAATATGTATCTGTCAAAAACGGTATTCAATTTTCTGTGGTTCTCTTAAATCATGTATTGGTAATGTTGCTACCTTAGACAAGCATGTAGTATCCTTTTTTGTTTTCCAATGGACAAGCCATTTTAACTTTAGCCTATGTGTTAGGCTTATCATGCAGGTTCAAAACCCTGCATCTTCTTAAATTCCAGTTGCAATGCTGACTACTACTAGACTGAGAAGTGAACAAAGAAGTATGTGAATTTGTTAGGTTGAGAAGACAAACTACTCTTTTTTTTTCTTTTAAGTATTAAATGCTGCTTCAAATTCTCTAAAGACAGAAACAACAATGGTTGCTTTGGGAAAAAAAAAGAGAATTTGCTCACATACATTATAGAATGTGGAACTTTAAATAAATGTTCAGTTTGAAAAATTATCAAAAGTTAAGGGATCCTCCAGATGGAAGTGGTGTCTGGTCATGGTCATAAGTGTTTTATATTGTCAACAAATTATTTGTTAAGGTGCTCTTATTATAATTTCCAGTTAATTAGATTCCTTTTAAAAGTTGCTTTTTTCTGATATAGTCATTTCTAATAAAGAGCTTATGTATGACCAGACACCTGGATAAAATTTTATATTGAAGTCAGTTGTAACAAACAAATATTGGTTAAAAAGAACTATGTATAAAATTCCAATTAGATTCAAGTGTACAGTTTTTGCAAGTTCAGCATTATGTATATTTTCATATCACTGTGGTTTTAACCTTTGGTTTCTATTGTAAGGTTTCAAGAGCACAATCCCATTATGGGAGAAAGAAAAATTAATAATTTTAATGGTATTATAGTTTTTGTAGCATTTTCTTAACTTTCATCTTAGCTATAAATTATGCAGAATTAATGGCTAGTTCCTTTTGTGTGTGTGTCAACTTTGGAAAAAAATAAAACATTTTTCTATGTTGAAAACTATACTTCTTATCAAACAAGTTACTTCAGTACATTTTTCCAGCTTATTGTTTAAAGTAGATGGACACCATAAAAATGAAGAGGATGGTAATGTCAGAATGGTCAAACAGCTTGGAGTATTTAAAGATTTTAAATGACTCTTAACCACCACAAACATCTAATGTAGGCTGACAAATTACGCTTTTATTTGTCTTAACATCTTTTACAATCCTAGTTCCAGCACAGTTCTCAAGAAAGTGCTTTTAAAACTTAACATCTGGTCGAACAGTTGTAAAACGAGGTTTGTGGAATTTCCGATTTATCCTTGATGGTAGTGGAAATTTTATTTTGCTGTCCTGAAAAAGTAAAGACCATATAATTAATGTCCATTCTTAAAGATAACTTGTAGAAAGAGTAGTACATTAAACTGGTAAGCCAAATTTTTGGTTTATAAGGTTTCTCAAAAATTGTTTTGAATTTGTAAATTATTAGAATGATAACTGTGTTCTTAACACTTTCCCTGCCATAAATGGGGGGGGGGGGTAAATCTAAAACACTGTTAAAGGAAAATAAAAACTGCTTGACACATCAGACCTTTATTAGAGCAATGATTCAGTTCAGAATTTCAAAATATATCACAATCAAGCATATTTATTTTTTACACAAAAGACAATATGATGGGGAAAATACTTTGGTAGTAATTCATATTTAAGTACAACTAACAACACCTTATATGAAACAAATCATCTAGACAACTTACATTTGTATATTCTATTTTACTACTTAAGTTCTACAATTTGGTCAAATTTATTCACTGTCCAATAGTTTCCAAGAGCTGGAAACCGCAGTTCTATTTGTCAGGCAGATTATATAGCTATTAAAGATATTTTAAATAAAACTTCCTAGGTTACATATGGAGTGTATGGTGTTTTAAGTTGTCTTTTACACACCACAGTGAAACTATGTTTATAACACAATAGCAAATGGTATTTATTAATAAAAAAACAGAAAGATGGAATTAATTGTTGGATAAATAATCTGTCCAATACACAGCACTGAGAAACTGAACTTCGAATCCTGCCCAATCTTAGTTTCCGTACTTAAAAGTTGCTTGCTCTACTTCAATCACTAAGTTTTCCAATTCCAACTTGTAAGTTTTAATAAATGATTTTTCCCATGCCTTGAAACCCTTTCAGTGGTTTGAGAAAAATATTAGCATCTAAACTACATTAGTTTGTACCAACCTGAGTTCACTTCCAACCATACAGTTAAAACAGAAGGAAGGCGACAGGCTGGTCTTCTCTTTTTGCACACACTTCTAACCCACCAAAAATTGTTTAAATTAATGGGCTATAGAATAGTGCAAGAAATAACAGTACAAAGTTCCAAAATTAAACATCAATTACTTGAAAGCCTACAATATCCACACTTACGTGAAACTGTTTCATGTGGGGTCTCCTACATTTAGAAGCTGGGAGTTCCTCAACACGGATAATCTGGATAGTGCATGCTTGAGCCCGATGCCTGGCTCCCATGTCCCTATCTGTTTGTTATGAAACACAGAAATAAGTGATTAACATCTGGTTTGTCTTAAGTATAGTGTACAAACAGAGTTAAAAGAGTACAAGTAAGAATGAAGAAATATAATTGTCTGTAATATTTAACCATTTCCAAGACATTGCTGAGTAAACCACATCATTTTAGTTAGTGTGAGTGTAAAAACTATACTGTTTATAGCATTAAAAACATATCTTATAATAAAATAAAAAGTAAATAAACTTTTTAACATTACTTTTGCCCAATTAAAAGAAGCACAAGGTTAGAAAGTTGTAAAAACAATGGTTCTAAACTGCCAAAAAAAATTTTTGTAGCAAATTGTTAGACTTGTGCATCATACAAGTTAGAAAAGCAATGGTTAGGCAAAAATGTTTTTTTTTGTATTATCCTTTCTTAATTCACAGCTCGTACAAATATAAAAACAAAGTAAACCAAATTCAATGACGAGGAACGCACTTTGAGACCTTTGAGACGACTTGAATGGGTAATGAAGAAAAACTTTAACATAACAACAAAACCTTG